TATGCAAGTATATCTATTTAAATTCTCAGAATAGTATATACGTTTTTAATTTTGATACTTCAAACATTTCCTCTATTAAAGTTGTGCTAACAGTGTCCACTATGTTATACATTAATATATCATTGACTTTTCTAGTAAGAATTCCTAAAAATTCTATTCCTAGAAGATTTTCAGATTAAGTTTCCAGAAATATGACATCTTGAGAGTACATTTTGCATTCATCTGTAATTACAAGTGAATCACTTTGAATTAAAGAATATCTTATTAAATTGATCCTGCAGCTGTATTAAGTAGGCTTCTCTACCTTATTCCAGTTCACTACAGCACTGCTGACATACAGCTCCTTTTCACTCTTTGTCTTGTTTTTTCTTTTCAGGTGCTGAAGTGGAATTTTACTACTCCCCGGGATGAATACATTGAGCAACTGAAGATTCAGATGTCTAGCTGTGTGGCTAAATGGCTGCAAGATGAGATGTTTCACTCAGACTTTCAGCATCATAACAAAGCCCTAGCTGTCATGGTTGATGTAAGTTTACAGAAGATAAATATGCATGTACCTCAGGCATGTGAGAATACTGAGCCCTGTGAAATAATCAGAAGTTTGTACGATTTGAGAAGGAAATGAAATATACCATGTTCACTGTTTTTAGAACTGTCTTGGTTTTTGATCGAATGAGTGAACTATGTGTCTATATTTTTGGTCTTAAATGGAGGGTTAAAAATCTATCATTTTCTTTTGGGGCTCCAGTAAAATTAAAGAAGTACTTGTCTAGTAGAACTTAAGTTTTTATATAGTCTTATTTGTGGGGGTTTTGTTTTGTTTTAAGCACTTGGAGAGTGAAAAAGAAGGTGTCATTGGTTGCCTGGATCTTATCTTAAAGTGGCTTACCCTGCGGTTTTTTGACACCAATACAAGCGTCCTAATGAAAGCCCTAGAATATTTAAAATTACTCTTCACCCTGCTAAGTGAGGAGGAGTATCATCTTACTGAGAATGAAGCGTCTTCCTTCATCCCCTATCTCATCCTCAAGGTAATATATTGTTCTCACTCTGGAAAACTGCTCAAGCTCCCAGCTGACCTTAGTTTCTGTGCTTTTATTCCCTCTCTCATGTTCATTTATTGTTTGGTGATGCCTTCCACCTCTCATTCCCATGCCTCTATTCTTTAAGATATAGTAATGCGTGGGAGGAGAGCCATTTTGCTACTCAAAAAATGCCTCACTTAATCATTATTTTCCTTGTTGATTAGGTTGGAGAGCCAAAGGATGTCATTCGTAAAGATGTCCGTGCCATCCTGAACCGGATGTGCCTTGTCTACCCAGCCAGCAAGATGTTCCCTTTCATCATGGAAGGAACCAAATCGAAAAACTCTAAGCAGAGAGCAGGTGAAGCATCTAATTTAAATGGAGACATGGGTCTCCACAACAGTGACCCCTAAAAGAAAGTTGTAGAGATTGAACAAGAAAATTTGCTTAGAATCTGTGTAGTTGCTTCCAGCCTTCTGATTTGGACTGTGAGAGTGATGAGTTGCACACTGGTGGAACCAAAGTATCGGGTGATACAGGCGCCACTCAGTACTACCCTGGTGACGACATCATGTGCACAGGGGCCATCTGACTCACATGAACATTCCTTTCTTCCAGGAGCACTTACTATAATACCATTGTTTCATTGTGTGCTTTATAAGAAGGCAATAAACAAAAATTCTAGGAGAACCAGAAGAAGATTTTAGTCCTTTACTTATGCAAAGGAAAATTTATCTAGTAAAGATAGGTCTCTGCCAGATGTGTGCCAAGTCTGTCATTAATGTAGCCTTTCTCCCTCATCAGAGTGCCTGGAAGAGCTGGGGTGTCTGATCGAGTCCTATGGCATGAATGTTTGCCAACCAACCCCAGGAAAAGCCTTAAAGGAGATAGCTATTCACATAGGAGACCGTGACAATGCTGTACGCAATGCTGCACTCAACACCATTGTAACTGTGTACAATGTACATGGGGATCAGGTGTTCAAGCTGATTGGAAATGTGAGTGACTTTTTCTGAGCATTGTCAGCATGTTGTGAAAAGAACTCCAAGATCTCTTAGGTGTCAGGCTTTATGCCATCTCAACTATATCTAACTTTTTTTTTTACCACTTTTTATTAAACTCAACCTATCAATATGTCCTAGAATCCAGATAAACCTTTGAGGGTGCCTCTGATTGTTGTAGGACATTTAGACTTGTGTTTTACCAAAAAATAAAAGTTTCTTTTCTGAACATTCTACTCATAGTAGTTTCATCTTTAGAAAAAAGAACTAGCTCTTTTGGAATGAAGAGTCTTGAACTAAAGCCATGAGCCAGACTTTCCATGCTCTTTAGGTTCTGCTTCTGCTTATTTCCTTTGAGCCAGTCACTGTTGTGGCTAGACCTCAGTTCTTTACTCCAGTTACTTCTTAACATCTCCATATATTTACAATGTACTTAAATAGTTTTATTTGTATTATCTAATTAAATCCTTACTACAGCCAGTGAAGGAGATAAAGCAGATGAGCATTTTATAAGTGAACAAATTCCTTGCCCATAGTCACACAGTGGTGACAAAACAAAAAATGAGGAAGTATCCTTTAATTTTTTGACTTTGTAATTTGTAGTTATTAATAGTTTTCTCTTTTGTATTCTTCTTTCATATGTATTATTAGCAGTGGTTGATTTTAAAATATGGATAATATTTTGGAAGTAAAACTTATTCTAACATTGTCAGTTCAGTTTGCTTAGATATGAAAATGGATATTAATTCTTGAGTTCCCCAATTAGATTTTAAATCTCCTAATATTCTAGTAGAGGGATGTGTGAATAAGTTAAATGTGACCTCTTTTGACAGCTTTCTGAAAAGGATATGAGCATGCTCGAGGAAAGGATTAAGAGGTCAGCAAAGAGGCCCTCTGCTGCCCCAATAAAACAGGTGGAAGAGAAACCTCAGCGCACACAGAACATAAGCTCCAGTGCCAACATGCTGCGGAAGGGACCAGCTGAGGACATGTCCTCCAAGCTCAAGTATGTAAACGGAGAAAGTTGTCTGACAGTATCTTTGTGGACTTTGCCTTATGTGCTCAAAGCTTGTAACACAGTCTTGAGTTCTCGTATCCATTATCATGCATGACAGAGTGTCTGGGTAAATGGCTTATAATCAAACGTTTAATCCTTCAGTCTTCATTGTCTTTGTCTTTGTCTCAAAACCACTTCTAAATGGTCTTGTGCCTTCTTTCACTGCTTTTCCGTGGACAGAATTATGTATCGCACTTATAGGATGTAAGTACTGCCTGCTAACTTCTCATTAGCAGGGCTCTTGTATCTCTCTAACTTCTGCCTTGGATTCATCCCCTCTGGAGGGTGCCTGACTAGAGTTTATAACCAGGGTGGAGGATGTCCATAAGTATCCCATAAATCAAGCCTTCCACAAAAGCCCATTGGCTGGCAGACACATGGCAACTCAATGTCACGTGACTAAAATATTGTCACCTTTTTCCTTGTGTTGTATTTGGTTGTTCTTAGGTTCCTGTTCTTGAGATAAGCTAACTGAAATGCATGCAACCCAGAATTGGCTTAGGGACTCAAAATACTGCCTTCTATGCAGGACAGCTCTGTTTTAGCTTGTGTCATGAATATGATTTTAACCAATTTGAATTTGAAAACTGAATACCTATTGTTTGGATGTAATGCTTCTCTGACCTGCCAGGAGTGAATATTCCTGAACAGAGGTGACTGACTATCCCTCAAAGTATAAGATGTACTGAACACTGCATGGAATGATGCTCATGATTAGAAAAACTTAGACACTGGTTGATTTGGTGGAAAAGAACCAGTCAGTCTAGATTTTTCTTATATTTTTATCCATAAGAAATGAGCTTTGAGTCAATATAAGTATTATGTCTACATTATTAATTATTTTCTTCCCCATCTGGAACGATAATACAAGGGTTGTTGGCTTTAGTGAACTAAAGTGAATACTTGTAAGTCGGCAGGTAATGTAAGTACAAGTTATCTGCTCTCAGCATGGTCATGAACCAGTGATGTTGCCCACTGAAGGCAAGGACTTAAATCATTCAGGGGGGCTGAAACCAGAAGTTGAACATTTGTCTTGAAGCTTTGGGGTAACTGGCTGTGCTACTCTTGCCATTCAGTTAAGAAGTTTCTTTTAGTTCAGGAGCCTCCTTTGCTTCCTTTAGCCAAGCTCGAAGCATGAGTGGGCATCCTGAGGCAGCCCAGACGGTTCGCCGAGAATTCCAGCTGGATCTAGATGAGATTGAGAATGACAATGGTACAGTCCGATGTGAAATGCCAGAACTTGTCCAGCACAAACTGGATGACATTTTTGAACCGGTCCTTATTCCTGAACCCAAGTAAGTTAAAGTCTTTCATGTAAATATGAGTGGTTGATGTTCATCAGAGTGCATACATGAAAGAGCTCCCTGCTCGTCAAACAAAAACCAAACACGTTGACGTCAAGTCAGTTCCAACTCATAGCAACCTTACAGGACAGAGTAGAACTGTCCCATGGGGTTTCCAAAGCTGTAAATCTTTACAGAAGCAGACTGCCATATCTTTCTCCTGCAGAGCGGTTGGTGGGTTCAAACTGCTGACCTTTCGATTGGCAGCTGAACACTTAGCCACTGCACCACCAGGGATCCTTCTCTGCTGGTAGTGTGCAACTAAAACTTTTTAGAACTGATTACTATCTCACTATAGCAGTTCTGTGATAAGACCTTGCCTTAGTGGGGAGTTGGATAATTCCAACTTACCAGGATGTCTTGTAATCGAGATTGAATTTTTCCCTTTGCTCTGCTGTCTAGGATCCGGGCTGTTTCTCCACACTTCGATGACATGCATAGTAATACAGCATCTACAATCAATTTCATTATCTCCCAAGTAGCCAGTGGTGACATCAACACGAGCATCCAAGCTCTGACACAGGTAATGGGAGTGCTACCCCACAACAGTGATTCCATTGCTGAATGTAGAGGTTGTGAAGTAATGGGTTATACACTGATGGAATCACAATATTAGGGGATGCAGGCAACATTCAGTACCACCCTGATGAAAAAAATGCACAGGGACCACTCAGAGTCATCACTTGCAACAAGATACAGCTCTAATAAAGCCTCACATTTTTATAATTGCATTCATTCACCAGAGGATGGAGTAATAGCAGTGAGCAAGTAGGGGCCAACTGTCATGGAACTTCCTCAGGTTTTAGTAAACAGAGACAAATAAACAAGAAAATATCAGATAGTTGTAACTACTGTGTAAATATCACTAAAATGGAGGGAGAGAGACTGAGTAGTTACTTAGATTGAGTGGTTACAGAAAGGCTGAATGACAAGAATGTGCAGATCATTCCAAGTAGAAGGATCATATGAAAGCCTATATGCCTTGAGCAGAGTGGGCAAGGGAGAATGGTACAGAATGAGGTTTGAGGGTTATCCAGAGTTCAGATCATGTAGGGCTTTGAAAGCCTCAGGATAAGTTGTTTGGATTTTAAGTGTGATAGGAAGCCATTAGAGAATTTTAAGAAGCTACATATTTTAAAAAAACAAACAACTCCTCTTCCTCTGCTTCCCTCCCCTAATAATCCAGTCCTAAAGGCATTATGTTAGGTGGGGCAGAGCAAGGCAGGCATCCAGTTGTGGCAAGGAGGTGGGAGTATGGAGCCATAGTAGCTCAAAGTGAGGGACTCAGAGCCCACGCACTATGAGGAGGGCCTCCACGTGGGAGGGCAAAACAGAGTGGGGAATCAGAGCCCGTGCTCTGTGAGGAAGGCCTCTGCACAGGAGGGCTGATGTGGAGTGGGGAGTCAGCCCACATAGGATGAAGTGGATGTTCATACAGAGGAAGTATGAGCCCAAGGGGATGAGGAGGATGGCAAGATGCGAGATGGTTCAGATGGGGCGTCAGAGCTGAAGCAGAAGAGGTCATCTGCATTGGGGGTGGGGGGTTGGTAGCAGAGATGGGAGATTGCTTACATACATACAAAGATATTAGTCAAATAAATAAATATAATGAGGATAATGACACCCAGGTTTCTTACTGTTGGAGAAGGGAGTTACAAATAAGAAAGGGGTACAAAATAGAATGAAGTCTAGTGTTGGACCAGAATTAAATGCATCAGTATGAACTCCTGGTTTACAATATATAGAGAAATATAGATGTAAATGTGTGTGTATTTGTATACATATATATATATAAAATACATATAGGGGTATATAGGTGTATATATATGTAATATACATATATAGGTATATAATATACATATATTCTCTAGCACTTTCACTTAGAGGACTTGAAAACAGCAACACCCCAAAAGCTACTAGCATACCTAGTGTCCAGATATTTGTCTTATAAATACCATTTTCCACTAAAAGGAATAAGGGCTCCTTGGAAAAATGGCTGATTCCAGGGCTGAATCAGGGAAAGTACAAGATAAGCCTAGAACAGCTTGTTATGCAAAAATAGGCTCAAAAAATGATGGGGACATGTCAGAAGGACACAAAGGCCAACTGGAATGGACTCCCTGTATCTGAATGGGGGACAATTTGAGCATCAAAATAAATAATGATGGTAATGAGTTATAAATCAAATAAAATTAAGTAAATTCATCGAAGTCAATAAAATTTAATAAAATAGGAAACTACAAGTCCATGCACATATTAATTAAAACTTTTAAGAGAAATGGGATATTTACATAGTTCCTCTCTAAAAAATACCTAAATACAAAGAGTAATTGGAGAGTAGAGAAGTATCTTAGTTATCTAGTGCTGATTTAACAGAAATACCACAAGTAGGTGGCTTTAACAAACAAATTTATTTTCTCACAGGAGACTAGAAGTCCAGATTCAAGGTGCTGAATTCAGGGAAGGCTTTCTCTCTATGTTGGCTCTGAAGGAAGGTCCTTGTGTCGTTTAGCTTCTGCTTCCTGGTTCCTTAGAGATCTCCATGTGTCTTGGCATCTATCTTACCCCATCTATGTCTGTGCTCCCTTTTTTAATCTCTTTTTATATCTTAAAAGAGATTGACTCAAGATACACCCTACACTAGTCCTGCCTCATTAACGTAACAAAGACAACCCGTTCCCAGATGGGTTATAACCACAGGCATAGAGGTTAGGATTTACAACACATATTTTGGGGAGACATAATTCAATCCATAACAAGAAGCCTAGTAGACACCATCTTAAGTGATCAAAGTGAACATCATGAATAATGGGACAAAATGAAATCATGTGCCACCCGATAGGATTCAGTGAAAAGGATTCAGCGTCACTCTGATGATGATCCTGCTAACAATATGTAACCTGAATCTAATCATGAAGAAACATCAGAAAAATGCAAATTAAAGAACATTTTACAAAGTAACTGGTCTATACCCTTCAAAAGTGTCAAGGAAAGACTGAGGAACTGTTCCAGACTGAAGAGACACTAAAGAGAAAGTGAACTAAATGCGGTACATGATTCTAGAATGAATGGTCTTTTGCTATAAAGGACATAATGGAGGTAAATGGAGATCATTAGAAATAAGGCAAGAAACCCAGAACCTAAAGAGAAGACACAGTTTTAGGTCTTATAAAATTGTTAAGATTTTTAGTTTGGAGAAAGTTACCATATACTGCCAGTAAACAGGTGATATAATGTGAAATATATTTGTAACACATATGATAAAAGATTAATAGCTACAGTAAATACAGCTCTTATAAACTCTTTGAGAAAGAAAACCCAGTAGAGAAATGACCAAAGACTATGAAAAGACAAATCACAGAAGATATCCAAATGACCTTACAAAACTTGAAAAGATGTTCAACTCCCTCGCCTACACTCACACACAAATGCAAATTAAAGTAAAACAAGGAATCACTTTTAAGTCATCAGATTGGCAAAAAGTAATGATACAGATACTGGGAAAATAGTACTCTTATACAGTAAATGTAGAGATGTGAGTTATTAGTTCCTTTATTGTTTTAGAAAGCAACATAGCAATATTTATTGTAATTAAAATGCTTTACCCTTCAGACTAAACAGTTATTCTCGTAGGACTCTTTTAGGAATAAAAACGTGTGTGTGTATGTGTATATATCTATGTATGTGTGTGTATATACACATACTGCTGCAAAAAATCTCTTGTAAAGTGTTGAAAAGCAAAGGTGTCATTTCGAGGACTAAAGTGCGCCTGACCCAAGCCATCATATTTTCAGTCGCCTCATACGCATGCGAAAGCTGGGCAGTGAACAAGCAAGACCGAAGAAGAATCGATGCCTTTGAATTATGATGTTGGCGAAGAATATTGAATATAGCAGGGACTACCAGAAGAACAAACAAGTCTGTCTTGAAAGAAGTACAAGCAGAATGCTCCTTCGAAGCAAGGATGGCGAGACTTCATCTCACATACTTTGGACATGTTATCAGGAGAGACTAGTCCCTGGAGAAGGACATCATGCTTGGTAAGGTAGAGGGGTCAGCAAAAAAGAGGAACACCCTCAACGAGATGGACTGACACAGAGGCTGCAACAAAGGGCTGAAACATAGCAACGGTTGTGAGGATGGCACAGGACCGGGCAGTGTTTCGTTCTGTTGTACATAGGGCTGCTATGAGTCAGAACTGACTCAACAGCACCTAACAACAACAACAACAACATATATATATACACACTCACATATATATACATACACAAAGATGTTTATTGTAACATTTCTAGTGAACAAAAACTAGAAACACACTGAAAGTTCATCAATAAGGGAATGATTGAATAAATTTTGGTATGTGCATATATGAACTATTACGTAGTCTTTAAAAATTAGGACTGCTCCTGTAGACTTTAGGGATTTTCATAATTTTCTGTTGCGTGAAAGGCTAGATGCAGAGAAGTATATATAGTGTAGCCCTCTTCTACAATAAGACAATGTCCCAAACCTGGACCCTAAATATGTGTGCATATGTGGTTGTATATGATTCTGTGAGCATGAAAGAATATGTGTCAGGTTGTTAATGTTCATAACCTTGGAAAAAGGTGGGGAGTAAGCCACAAAAAAAAAAAAAAAACCAAACCCCTTGCCATCAAGTTGATTCCAACTCATAGCGACCCAATAGGACAGAGTAGAACTGACCCGTAGGGTTTCCAAGGCTGTAAATCTTTTCAGAAACAGACTGCTGCATCTTCCTCCTCCAGAGCAGCTAGTGGATTCAAACCACTGACCTTTCACTTAGCAGCCGAGCACCTAACCACTGCACCACCAGGGTTCCTCAGGGAAACAGCAGTCAAGAAATCAGACAGTGTATCACATTGGGCAAATCTGCAAAAGACCTCTTTAAACTGTTAAAAAGCAAAGATGTCACTTTGACAACTGAAGTGCACCTAACCCAAGCCTTCATATTTTCAGTCGCCTCATATGCATGCAAAAGCTGGACAGTGAATAAGGAAGATTGAAGAATTGTTGCATTTGAATTATGGTGTTGGGGAAGAGTACTGAATATACCATGGACTGCCAGAAGAACAAACAAATCTGTCTCGGAAGAAGTACAGCCAGAATGCTCCTTTACGTACTTTGGACATGTTATCAGGAGGGACTAGTCCCTGGAGAAGGACATCATGCTTGGTAAAGTAGAATGTCAGCAAAAGAGAGCAAAACCCTCAAGGAGATGGATTGACATAGTGGCTGCAACAGTGGGCTGAAACATAGCAATGTTTGTGAGGATGACGCAGGACCAGGCAGTGTTTCGTTTTGTCGTACATAGGGTTGCTTAGAGTTGGAACCAACTTGACGGTACCTAACAGCAACTACTTTTTTTTTTTATGGTGTCCATGTTGAAACAAGGTCTAAAGGTCTAAAGCATTGTTAAATGGGCCGTTATATAAAATTGTGTGTGCGCTTATGGGGTGTACATGCATAAAGAGATCAATTAAAGGACCACTGGCTTCCATAGTTCCAGGGGCACCATTCACATTGTACTATATACAAATGCCACCTCTTGGAACATGGGCTATGGTGTAAAATTTGGTGTCCCCTGCAGTTGTGCATTGTGGCGGCCCCACATGAGAGCGTGGTCACTCACTGAAGATTGATCATGGTTGTCTC